CCCTCTATTAGACATTTTAAAATTAACAATTTAAAATGTTATAGCATCAGTGTTAATTTTTGTCTGTCATTTGTATCCCATTAAATCACACAATAAAGCTGGCTGGGCTTATATAGCTGCATTAAAGGGGTTTTGGTTGGGCTTACATCTAGGGGAGCATATAAGTTTCAGAACGACGAGATAAATCATGTCTGAGAAACTAATTCAAGCTAACTTACCATTACATTTAGAGCTATTATTTCAAAACATCTATAAAACACTAATGTGACGGGAACAACTGGAACAGAACAGAACGAAAGTGAAAAAAACCACAAGCCTTAACGTTATCAATTTACCTATTTGCTGTGAAACGGTCCTCTAGGAAGAATTAAAGCAATTATACATTAGATGGGCTTATATCTGGGGTGTGTGTGGAGGGGGGAGGCTTAAGTTGTATATCCGGGGGCCTATATGCAGAATAGTATCTTTGTTAGCAAATAGAGGAGTTTATATCTGGAGGCTTCATAGGGGGGGGGGGGGGGGGGGGGGGGCTTTAATGAGGGATTTTAAGGTGCGCATGTAAGAACCTTTTTATCATTATCATCATTTAACGTTTTTTACCCCTCACAAGACCACAACTCAAAATACTATAACATCAAGTTGTCTGAGATTTTATTCCTGCTCGCACCATGTGCGTAGAACCCGTTTTCCTCGACAGTCGCTGCCTAGTTACATGGTAACTAAGGTAATGTGTTAGTATAACTGGTAATATTTCAACAAAAGCGTGAATCTCTTACTAGAATAATCTGCTTCAAGGAAATTTGTGTAACTTGAAACATTTCCAGAACCTGCCCTGGATTAAAATTCTTGATTGCTGCATCAAGGTGAAAACATGGTTTTCGGAAGAGAGATCTTTTCCCTCAATAAACGCCATATACAAAGCAGTTGAAATGCGTCAATATCTTACAAGTTGCTTAGAAAAATATTTACAGTTAGAGTATTTAACTACCAACTCGAGTGTTGTTGGTCAGATGTATAGGAACTTTCATTGAAAATCAACAAAACTTATCATGGAGTGTTGATTTAATTAACCATCAGGTGGTTTCCCCTAGCCTGAAAACTAGAGATGGAGGATGGAGGGTGTGAGTGTAGGGGTGGGAGAAGGGGGAATAGGGGAGGAGTCCCTTTTTACCTTACCCCTCCCCTGCAATGCAGGTTAGTGTTCCCCTGGGACTTGTGCCTTTGATAATAACACATTACAACACCTGTCTGAGACACCCCATGTACAAACAAGTTGGGTAACAAACTATGGGTGAGTCAGCTTGAGAAAACACATCACCTTGTTCCCTGCTCAAGCAGGGGTGGATCTAAGGGGAGGGTGCAGAAGGTGTGCAACCCCCTCCCCTTGAGATGAAGCCTTCTTCTTTGTATTCGCTTTTAAAATTTTTTTCCCCCATCAGTCAGTTATGCCATTCGCTAGTGGTGCACCCTCCTAAAAAAAACAATCCTGGATCTGCCCCTGTCAAGTTGTTTTCAAGTGCCAAACTGGGAAACTTCACGCTGATGATGTTACACTTAAAAATTATTGTCCTGGTTCCAGGACAATTCCTTTCCTTCTCCTTCAACAAGAAAATAAAGATCCAAGATGAGGAGTTGTAGATTGCAGCCACATGGAATTTTCAACCACATTGTTGTTAGATAACAGAGCAGAACTTAGGCTTGCAATGCACATGATTAAAATATACATTAGATTAATATCCGACTCAAAACATTAGTTGGAACAGGCCAAGTTTTCACTTTGATGCAGCACACCTGATTATTATGTACACACAATATTCCAAATAACTTAAGTAACTTTCCTTCACAATCTTGTGTAATAACTTGTAACATATCTCTGCTTGTGGATTAAATATCTATAGAAGAATTTCATAAAATCCCTCAATAACAATTCTGTACAATTATTTTTGATAAATACTTTGAAATAATTTCTCAAATTGAAGACATTTTCATGCTCAATATTGCCTGTCTAAAAAGACATAAGATAATTTTTTTTTATAATTTGATAATTGTCCCAATTTTAATAAGGGCCCATGCAGTAAAACTGAAAAATAAAACATTTCTTTATGCCAAGATTCCTGGCAAATAAATTGAGATTTCCTTAAATCCTCACTTGCTTTGGTGGCAAAATAAATGCTCAAATCAGACTGCAAAACACTATCCAAAGCACTAGCAATCCCTTGTTTCCCTTCAAAGAATGGTGAAAATAACGTTAATAATATTCCAAGATCTCATCTCTAACCAGCTTCCTATTTCAGCCATCCTTTTCCATTCCCATTCCTTTGAACAACAAATATTCCACTTTTATGGAACTGTTTAGCACCAACGACAAGGTACTATTAATAGCACAATCTTATCCAACTTCGCTTATGGAAGTAAATGGTTTAAGGTAGTAAGGTGATGTTTGAATGATCGCTCCTTCTCATCCTTCACATTGTCACCACCAGTCTTGTACTCTTTACAACCAGAAATCCCCAAGTCATCCATAAATGAATCACGGACATGCAATCACCAATGATGATTTCAATTGTCTAGTTTCTTGAATACATAATTTCTTTCCATTCTTTGTCACCAACAGCTCATTCTTGATCCCTTGTCCTGCAAGGGATGTGTCAAAACTAAACTAAACATCAAATACTTGCACGTCTCTCAACTGGCCTGGTATGTCCCACTCATTCTGGACTTGCTGATTGATGTCAATTAAGAAAGACTCCTCAAAACACAATCTTGGTAGTCTTGCCTTGTTTAAACCATGTCATTGATAATTACGATTCATGAAGCATGTTCCCATGACTGCATTATGCATTAAATAATAATCCACACATGTACATTAAAATACTGAAATAAATAGCATCTTGCCAATGGGCACCTTGAATAATCTTGTAGGCGATAAATATTGATGTCTATTGAATTATCCACAGTCCATACTTGATAAATGACTAACAGACTAGACTTGTAATATAATATCATCTTCCCATGACCAGCATGAAGGAATTATATGATGCAACTGTTGTATGTTAATATTCACCACGGATTATTCATCAAAGATTGCTTCAAGGGCTATGTCACGTGTATCATCATCACTGCCTGTATATGTTGTCCAATAATGATGAAGTGTATGGTATACAAGTTCATACTGTAAATCTGTTTCCACCATTCCGCCCCTACAGATTTATAGAAATAAAAGTTAGTGTATGTTGCAGTTAATTGTACACTAAGAAATAGTTTCTACATCCGCAACTTGATGTAACCTAGAATCCTAGGGGAGATACTCCCCTCAAAAAACTGGTTGGTAGCATGTGACA